GAGTATGTTGCTAACAGGCCCAAGGACATTTTGACTTTGAGCCAAGAAACTGGCTACTTTTCTTTGGGGTTTTTTTTACCCTAACTGCCTAGCCAATTCCTACCTCCTATTCTTATCACCCCATCCTCTGAAGAGGTGACCCAAATTGCCAATAGGGAATAGGGATGCCGACCGCTCTGGCTTCTTCCATGCTGAACAGGGACACAGGGTGAGGCAATTGGAGTACCCCTTCAGTGGGTCTATCTAAAAGACTCCCAATCGCATAACTTTTGTCTCTAAGGGGAAAAGAGAGTCCTTGAATCATGAATGGGAGATGTGAAGAAGTAAAGGCAAGAGTAAATAGCATTACAAGTTCCAGAGAGAACTAGAAAAAAGTCAGAACAGGGCAATTTTCAAATGTTCATATGAGAGTCCATTGGAATTTCTTGACAAGGGCTTCCAAAAGCATCCCTCTACTGGGGTGCTCCTCATTTTTCTTTTGTCTTCCAAGGCTGGACTAGTTGGCTAGGAAGAGTGGCTGGATACTCAGGTGAGGGTCCAGTGACCCTGCTGGGCACTCCTTTAATGAATGAGCACAACTGTCAACAAGCCCAATTGTGAGTGTGTTTAGTGATCAGGCTCAGCCGAAGTCGTGATGATGGCAGTTGTTTCATGCAGAAGGGACTGCTGTATATCATCATCTTATTAAAAGGACCTGAAATTTTAAAGGATTTGGTGCTAGGAGCCACATAGGAGGGAGAACATACATTGTTTATTTTTCTGAGTCTGTGTTACTTCACTTAGTATCACAGCTTCTAGATCCATTTACCTGCAAATTTCATTATTTCATCTTTCTTTACTGCTGAATAGAACTCCATTGTATAAATATACAAAATTTTGTGAACCACTCATCAGTTGGGGGACACTTAGGTTTCTTCCATCTCTTAGCTATTATGAAAAGAGCAGCAACAAACATGGTTGTACAAGTGTCTCTACAAAAGGAGGAGTCCTTTGGGTATAAGCCAAGGAGTGGTATAACCAGGTCATATGGTATTTTCATTTTTAGTTTTTTAAGAGTTCTCCACACTGTTTTCCATAGAAGCTCCATGAGTTTGCAATCCCACCAGCAGTGAATGAGCATTCCCCTTTCTCCACATCCTCGCCAGCATTTGGTACCATTTGTTCTCTTGATCTTAGCCAGTCTGACTGGGGTAAAATGAAATCTTAAGGTGGATTAATTTGTATTCCCCTAATTACTAATGATGTTAAACACATTTTAAGATGTTTCTTAGCCATCTTTATTTCTTCTTTTGAGAACTCTTTG